ACTAGGTAAAACTTTCACGGACGGAGAGTGGGAGAAGATAGGCTACTTAACACACCACTGCTCAGTCTTCAGCAGGACCCAGGAAACGGCATTCAAACTACTGACAAACTGGTACCACACTCCAATCATACGCCATGCCATAGACCCAGAGCACACTGACCTTTGCTGGAGATGTAGCAAAGAAGCTGGCACCATGCTCAACCTCTGGTGGAACTGTGAGGTCGTCCAGCCCTTCTGGAAGGGCATACACGACTTACTCTAAACATTTTCAGACGCACCACCACCCTTTCTTCCGGCAGCCATGCTTCTACACCACACGAAGACACCCAGGTCCCACTATAAAAACTCACTCACCATTAGAATCCTAAATGTGGCCAAGCAAGTGCACCCACAATTCTGGAAGCAAACATTGACACCTTTACTGACAGCATGGTTCTCCCAAATGGAAGAACTAAGAGCCATAGAGGAACTCAACATGAGCGCAAACACACCGGACAAATACCTGGAAATATGGTCGCACTGGCTACTGAAGACCAGTAAGACAGATTTTATGACTAGGCTCCAATACGAAACGTAGACAGAGGCAGCAAGACAGCACAGACCGACACCACGACAGACAAAATAGACTGATACAACTCTGACAGCAACACGCCTCCCTCCACAAATAACCCAACACATAAACCCACCGCACACAAACCAACACATCCTGGCACCGACCCACTGCTCCAAATAAATATCACCCCTATGGGACACACACGACCACAACACTGCACAAGAAACCACACACTTGTCCAGACAAACAACACACAGAGACAAGCCGAAACACAAGAAAGCCAACACCCAGCCACCTCCTGGAACACAAGTAGGACCGACAGGCCACAATGCCAACTGTCTAAGCAGGCACGGCAGACCAGAGTCAAGGAAACACAGCACTACGCCACAACACATTGACACTGCCAACAGCACACGTGACAACCAGAGAATAGACACATTGAACTAGGACTTACACACGAGAACCCAACAAACACCATACACAACCAAAACACAGGTCTCTGCACTACACACCTATAGCAAATTACTACTTTGGGCTTACAAGCCACAGGAAAGCAGAAAGTTGAGAGACCTGCGTGTCTCAAGAGGTATTGACTATTCACAAATGTTGAAACCTGCGAGTTAAGGAATAAACCCAACCTTGACACAATTGAAATGTTATCGCAACCGGTCACAGACCTGAGACCTGCGAGTCTCAATGTTACTATTTTCTTTGAAAACAAATAAAATTATATTTACAAAATATATATATATATATATACGGAGGAGAAATAGTTATTTAAAATTTCATCTTTGTTTATTTTTTTTTATTTATGTACTTAAAAAAATGCTTTGGGGTTTTTGCTCTTTTTGGCTGTAATTTTTTCATTTTGAAGTTTAGCGAATCTAATCGCCTCTTTGCACACATTATTCTTCCTTATAAGGCTTCCTATCTTTTATATGATGCCTCTGATTTGTCAGATTTAAAGACTTTGAATGCCCTTTTCTTATTTATAATTTCTTGATTCACTTTCCCACTAAGCCACATTGGTTTAAATTTTTTTCTTTTATATTTATTACCAAATGGTACATACTGAGAAATGTACCTTTTTGATATTTGTTGGAATATATTCAATTTATTCTCAGTGTTCTTTTCGCTAAAGAGTTTATGCCAATCAATATATTGTAAAGCTCCCCTTAACTTATTAAAATTGGCATCTTTTATTTTTTTTTTGGTGCAGGTTAGTACATAGCATTTTCAAACGCCACAACAGCGTATACAAATGTAAACAGGCTAGGCAATGGCATGTTAAATTGCACATTTTTGTTTTATGGTCATGTTTTACATTTCTAGTTTGTCTCCGAGTTAGGAATAACAATTATCAGAGTTAAGGAGGCATGCATACGTTTCACTAGCATATTGTTTTAGGTAAGGCATTGAGTAATCATATTAGGATAGGTTAGGTTAAATGTTACTGCTTAGAGAGTGGGATGCAGGCCAATATAGGTAATTTGGGTTAAGCTAGGTTTCTATGATTGCTGTGTGAGTTATTTCAACCCATAGGCCCCTATGTTGAATCTTGGGTATGCTTGGTGAGGTTGGCACATCAGCGAGGCTTAGATCACGTTTTTTTCAGTTTCGCAGTGCGTGTACTGAGTGGAGGTGAGGCATGTCTGCCAAGTGTCCCCTTGGATTTCAGCTTAGTCCGTGATTTTAGCATGATCCTGCTGTATGTCAGCAGTCCAAGTGCGTCGCGGTTCCAGGACTGCAGGGCGGGAGGCACCGTACTGCAAACGGGGGAGGGGGGGTGTGATGATTAAGTTGGGTGCCAGCTCCCTGGATCCTTCTGAGGGTAGGTATCCCTGGGCAGGCCGCCGATGGCAGTTTCTGTGGTGCATCCGCTTGTTTAATGTCTCTCCTTCTCTTCCACCCACCCCGGGCCTGCTAAAGTGCCAGAGCCGAGGCCTCGCTCCGAGACTCGAGAAGTATTTGTTGTGTTAAAGCTCTGTTTCTTGCATGTTACAGGCTGCTTTATGGGTCGAGCCAGCTTATACCGACGAGCTGCACCATGCACAGTGTGTGCAGGGGGAGCTCTGGCATCGGCTCCTGCGCACATGGCCTCTGCCATCATAGATGTAGGCCTTGGCATGCAGAGTGGGATGGTATTGTGTTTTGGTGACTGTGGCTACAGGGTGGGGACCGGAATCACCCCCACCGGTCCAGAGGGGGGTACAGGACCGGGTCCACGAAGGTTCTGAGTGCCTGCCGGGCTCCGTTAGGCAGGATAATGGAGCAGCGGCCGTCCACTCCAATCACCACTGGATAAATTTCCACATGGAACAGCGGAGATCTCTCCTCTGAGGGACTAAAACTCAGGATCTGGTACCCCTTGCACATGGAAGGTCGCAGTTGTTGGTTGTTAGATTCGTCTAAAAGCATGGGTTATAGGCTTGTTTGACGTTTCCAGGAGCTGATCTTTCCTGCGACCGTCCAGCTTGGCGGTCCGGCCCCGCCCCCAGAAATTGGCCTTTTTAAAATTGTTTTAGTATACCTTATGTGCTTTTGTTTTTTTGAGTTTATTTCTATTGTGATCACTATTTCCCAAGTGCTCATCTACTTGAATTTTGGTCAAAAGATCAACGTTATTTTTTAGAACCAGGTCCAGACAAGTGTCCTTTCTAGCTGGAGTTTGTACAGGTTGTGACATGAAGAGGTAATTTAACAAGTTCAAAAACCTGATTCCCTTAGCTGAACAACTAGTCCCTCTGTCCCAGTTTATGTCTGAGTAATTAATATCTCCACTAATTAATGTGTTAACCAGATTTGCAGCATCAGCTGTTGTTCCTCATCAATATAAACATTAGGTGGTTTATAATATATCCAAACCAATAACTGATTTCCCTTCTTTTGCCCCAAGCAGATATTTACCCATAAAGCCTCCACATTTTCCTCATCACTTTCCACTTGCATAAGATTTGACTTTAACTCATGGTTGACATACAAACATACCCCCCCACCCTTCTTGTTTTTCCTATCCTTCCTAAATAACGTGTACCCATTTAAGTTAACTGCCCAGTCATGTCTCTCATCCCACCATGTTTCTGTTATGCCTATTATGTCATATTGTTTAGTGTTTAGTGCCATTAATTTATGTAAATGTACATTTTTAAAAATATTTCTTTTAATATCAGAGTGATTAAATGTTGATTTTTTTTTTTGTGGCAAGGTAACCCTTTATCTGAGAGTCTAGAGTGAATCCAGGATGGGTTCCAAATTTAAGGCCAGAGTAGCAAATATGAAAGCACGACTGACTTGGAGAATTTTTCCAGTTCGGCTGTTTTGATCTTATGTTTTTTTCCCCTCTTTTTTATTTTGTTAGTTTTTCAAAAATATTTTTAATATCAGAGTAATTTAAATGTTACATTTTAAATTTGTACAAATGAAAAAAAATCTCAGGCACTCACTGCGATATCTTTTATGCAGTTTTATTGAATCTGCAACGTTGCGACCTGTAACCAGGTCTTTATCAAGCTAACACCACAGGGACAAGAAAGCATTTTTATACACACATAATATTCAATTAATGTGCAACTACAAAATTAACAAAACAAGTGATTAAAAAAACAGATGATCAGTTAATTTGATCAATACACTCATTAGACCTTAAAAGACATGGAAAGGAATAAACAAGTACATGGCATATGAAAGAGATTTGAGAAGGAAAGAAAGATTAAAAAGAATCCATGTATTAGTGCAGACCAAATTAGGCATTATAATAAACATACATCTCTTCCTTGTGATAGGAAGATATAGGTAAGTATATAAAATCAAAAAGATTGAATAATTAATGACAGATGTAAATACCTGAACACCTAACACTTAAAAAAAAAAAAAAAAAAAAAATGCGCATTAAATGAACCGCCTACCGCACGTTACGTGCATGATTACATCAATCAAAATGTTAAATGGAAGCCTGTAGTGGTCAATAAGGGTAAATGAGCTCGGAACCAGAGCACATGAGCAGAAAGTGTCAAACCGCGCATGTTAAATTAGATCATTGTTACACTAAAGGATTGCATTGGGCACCCAGTATTTGTTCAGTACACATCCTGCTTAAAATTTTTTTAATTAATTAATGTTATACCATTAGGCAATATTTTCCTATAAACGGAATTTGCCTGGTGATATTTTGTGTACATCACTAGGGGATTTTCCAGATATCTAGCAAACCATGTTTCATTGGAATAGCTATACCACTTCCAGAACAGAATGTAATTATTATTATTATTATTTTATGTTTTTGTATTCTCTGTAGAAGTCAGATTTTCAGATACTGAAACATAAAAACAATTTCAAATGAACTGGGTGTTTAACCAATTGCTATAATAACCAAAGTACAAAGTTTAGTACTGGTAAACTAACAATAAGCTTGTTATCAAACGTTTGCAACAATTTTGTTTTTAACATGTTAGACTTCAACTTTTTTATCAATAATTAACTGATGCCAAACTTCTCCATCTGGGAACTGATACTGTAATACAGACTCTTCTTTCATTTCAGTGGAATAGCCAGGATCCTAAGATTAAAAAAAATACACATAAAAATAAGATATCATGATGGAACAATCTTAATTTGTTTTTATAAAGTAACAAAAAGGTTCTATAACACGGCTACAATTACTGTTGGCATCAAGAGGGAACTTTCAGAATGTGTTGTCTTGTCTAGCAGTAATGTTTTAAACACCTATTATTTTCTGTGGCAGTATTTTTATTTGTGCGTGCGGCTGTATACAAATGACACAAATACCCAAAAGGTAGATCCCCAGATGTTGTAGAACTACATCTTCCATGATGCTAAAGCATTCTAAAGGCATGCAAAGTGTCATGAGTAGTTCTACAACATCTAAGAATCTACTTTTTTGGCACCCCTGGTGGTACTGGTTCTGTATTACAGCTCTTTGAAACCTGGGCCTGGAACTGTGTTTCCCATAAATCTCTTTCTCTGTCAGTATTTTAGTGAGGGACACAGGTATTTTCTCCAAGCAATTAGATTGCTCTGTTGGCTTCATCAGGATTGCATTGGAGAAAGAGTAAAAATTAAACTGAATGCATTCCAATAGGAAGTGATAGAAACTAATACGAGCTGGCATGTTAGTTGTCTAAACTTGTACAATTTCACTGGACCAAACGGTTTAATTAATTACAATTTTACAATTTTTTTGTGAGGACGGGAACATAAGCAGAAGAATTCTTATGAAGGAGTAAAAGATGTCTGTTGTAAGTCCACATCCCAGTTTCAGTGCTCTCGAGTTGTGCCAGGAAGGCATTAAGAAGCAAATAAAACATTTGATGTACATTTTGATTTGAACAGTGTGGCAGAATGATAAACATATAATTACTACTTACTTTTGGTGGCATGTATGCAGCATGATGGATGGATACTGGATATTTAAAATGTTCATGGAGGTGATCCACATACTCGCACATCCTGAAAAAATACACACAGGCTTTGACAGCAATTTAAGGAAACTAGTAAATTAGGGGTTTAGTCACTATACTTGGAATTGTGGATAACTGGCAAAGGAATTGCAAATTCAATATAACCAAACTGGGAAAATCAACTAGTTTTCCAGATGGGCTATTTTATTCCACGTTTTGCAGTTTTCTTTTCAACTTCCTGTGATTTTAAATTTTGTAAATTAACCCCATAGTGTGTAAATATTTAAGAGGGACACTGGTGAATCAAGCTCCCATACTGCATCTCAATGACACCACTATAGAGGCTGGAGTTGCTGAAATGTTAAACCATTTTCAAACCGTTAAACCCAGGGCTGCCCACTACAACTCTCATGCTTTGTATGCCTCTAGAATGACAAAGCATCATAGAAACTGTAGTTTTAAAACATCTGGGCACTTTTGGTTACTTTTGGTTACATAGTTACATAGCTGAAAAGAGACTTGCGTCCAGGGCCGGACTGGGAGAAAAATTCGGCCCGGGCATTTTTTAACACAGCGGCCCACTAAGAAGGGGGCGGGGGCAGAGGAGGTGTGTTTTGTCATCACCAATGACAAACACGCCCCCTCTCAAAGTGAGCATGTTGGTTCAATGCTCTTCCAGGGCAGACCATGCGCAGAGCTCTGCTGAAGAGCTCTAGCATGATAAAAAAGCCCTGTATTTGTTCTGCACAGTGCAAGCAAATTTAATAACATGCTTGCACTGTGTTTCCTTGCAAATTGTCTCTGGTGTCTCTATAAAGATACCAGGAAACAAAAATGCCAGGAAAGAGTATTGTGCATGTGTTTGGAGCCTGCTTGTGGTATTGCGTGTGTGTAGAGTGAGCTGATTGTGGTGCGGTATTGTGTAATAAGGTTGGTTTTAGTCATGTTGTGTTTGTGGTGTAATGTGATGCATATGTGGCTAGGGGCTGTAGAGAATGTGTGTATTGGGGATATAGCAAGTGTGTGCATACAGGCTATAGTGTGTGTGTGTGTGTATATAGGTGATGTAGTGTATGTTTAGGGGTGTAGTATGTGTTTGCTTACAAGGAATCTAGTGTGTGTATAGGGGATCCAGAGTGTGTATGTTAAGAGTGTAGTGTGTGTGTATATATATAAATATATATTTGGAAGTATTGTGTATGTGTGTGGTGCAGTGTGTTGAGGGGGTTCTATGTGTATGTGAGGGGTGCAGTATGTGTGTCTGAGGGGTGCGGTGTGTGATGTGTGTGAGAGTGCGGTGTGTGAGAGTGCTCTGTGTGATGTGTGTGTGTCTGATGAGTGTGAGAGTGCTGTGTATGATGTGTGTGAGAGTGCCGTGAGTGAGAGTGCCGTGAGTGAGAGTGCTGTGTGAGAGTGCTATGTGTGTGAGAGTGCGTGAGTGCTGTGAGAGACTGCTGTGTGTGAGAGTGCTGTGTGTGTGAGAGAGTGCTGTGTGTGAGTGCTGTGAGAGAGTGCTGTGAGAGAGTGCTGTGTGAGAGAGTGCTGTGTGTGAGAGTGCTGTGTGAGAGAGTGCTGTGTGAGAGAGTGCTGTGTGTGAGAGTGCTGTGAGAGAGTGCTGTGTGTGAGGGAGGTGCTGTGTGTGAGGGAGGGGTGCTGTGTGTGGGGTGCTGTGTGTGAGGAGGAGTGCTGTGTGTGGGAGTGCTTTGTGTGTGGAGTGCTGTGTGTGAGTGCTGTGTGGAGTGCTGTGAGGGGAGAGGTGCTGTGTGTGAGAGTGCTGTGTGTGGGGAGTGCTGTGTGTGGGGAGTGCTGTGTGAGGAGAGTGCTGTGTGTGAGAGGGGTCCTTTGTGTGAGGTGCTGTGTGTGAGGAGGTGCTGTGTGTGGGAGTGCTGTGTGTGAGAGTGCTGTGTGTGAGAGAGAGTGCTGTGTGTGAGAGTGATGGGTGTGAGAGAGTGCTGTGTGTGAGAAAGTGCTGTGTGTGAGAAAGTGCTGTGTGTGAGAGTGATGGGTGTGAGAGTGATGGGTGTGAGAGAGTGCTGTGCTGTGTGTGAGAAAGTGCTGTGTGTGAGAAAGTGCTGTATAAATGTTAGAATGGATTGTGTGTGTAGGGGGGAGGGGGGTTAAATAAATAAAGTAGGCATTATGTCCCCCCCTCCCTTCTTACCTTTAGCCTGGGAGGGGGGGACCGGCACACTGATCCCTGGGACTGGGAGGGGGGGGTTCCCTGGTGGTCCTTGTGGTGAGATCCGGTCATTGCCATGGCAACGCGCCGGATCTCGCGAGAGGAACCCGGCGGAGCTCTAATTTAGAGCTCCGCCGGGTCCTCTCTCCTAGCGGCTGTCTCCCCCCCTCTCCCCCTGCCCGCTGCCGCATTATACAGCATGTGGGCCGGTGAGGGAGATCTTTGATTTCCCTCACCGGCCCTTCATGGAAAACAGCGGGGCCGGCGCTCGGATAGTGCCGGCCCTGCATAGACCGGCAGGGGAGATCCTGTGATCTCCCCTGCCGGCCTCGGCCCATGGCCACCGCGGCCCACCGGGCATTTGCCCGGTGTGCCCGATGGCCAGTCCGGGCCTGCTTGCGTCCATCAAGTTCAGCCTTCCTCACATATGTTTTTGCTGTTGATCCAAAAAAAGGCAAAAAACCTAGTCTGAAGCGCTTCCAATTTCGCCACAAACTAGGAAAAAATTCCTTCTTGACCCCAAAATAGCAGTCAGATGTCTCCTTGGATCAAGCAGCTATTACCCCACTAATTAAAAATTATATCCCTGTATGTTATGTTTTTGCAAGTATTTATCCAATTGCAGTTTAAACATCTGTAATGACTCTGACAAAAGCACCTCTTCAGGCAAAGAATTCCATATCCTTATTGCTCTTACTGTATTTATACATGACAAAACCTTACTGGCCTTAGCAACTGCAGATTGACATTGCATATTGCTGCCTAATTTGTTGTCTATAACAATTCCCAAATCCTTCTTGTGTGTGGTTATCCCTAGTTCACTACCATTTAGGGTGTAAATTGCTTGTGCATTCTTAACCCCGAAATGCATAACTTTGCATTTCTCTACGTTAAATTTAATCTGCCATTTTAGTGCCCAGTCCCCCAATCTATCCAAATCCCTCTGCAGCAAAGCAATATCCTGCTCACATTTTTATTACTTTACAAACTTTTGTGTCATCTGCAAACACTGATACATGGCTTTCAATGCCTATTTCAAGATCATTTATAAATATGTTAAATACAAGTGGTCCCAAAACAGAACCCTGAGGGACACCACTTACCACTTTTGTCCAGCCTGAAAATTTACCTTTAATGACAACTCGTTGTACTCTATCCTTAAGCCAATGTTCTACCCAAGAACATTCATCTAGACCAATTTATTTTAGTTTGAAGACTAACCTATTGTGAGGAACCGTATCAAATGCCTTGGCAAAATCCAAGTAGATCACATCTACTGCAACACCCTGATCTATACTTCTACTTACTTCTTCGTAGAATGCAATTAGTTTAGTTTGACATGACCTATGTTTCATAAAACCATGCTGATTATTGCTAATAACAAAATTCTTCCCAATGAATATTATCCCTTAATAGCCTTTCAAATATTTTCCCAGTTACAGAAGTTAAGCTCACTTTAAGCTCAATTTCCAGGCAAACAAAAGAATCTTGAAAAATTAAATACAGAGGTTCACTTATTTCCCCACTTAGCTCCTTAAGTTTAACCACAAAGCTGTCCCCACCCACCCGGGAGGCTAGCAGCAGTGTCTTCGGTCTCATCCACTGGCCACCACAACGATCAGGAAGGTTTGCCTTGGTGGCTGGTGATAGGCTGAGAGTGACACCTGCACGCAATTTCCTGAACAGTGCAGCAGCCATAGGAAAACTGAGGAGGCTGTAACACCAGGTGACAACTTTGTAAGGTAAGACTGTGCCCGAGAACTCCATGCCCCATAGCTTAAGCACTGTCATCCCCCTTCATCGTTATGAAAAATAAATCATTCTTAATCTTTGTGATATACACATTTTGACTGTGTTGAAATTTCACAGAAATTCCAACCTAGTCAATATCTTTGTATATTTCCTATGTCTGACACTACTATACACTGGGCTGAGCTACTGCCATCCAGAAGTGCCAATCCCCCCCACCAGTGATGGCTGCAGGTAACTGGCTCTGCCTATGGAGGTTCTTGTAGAATCCTCCAGACCTCAATGCTGTACTCTCACACGTTCGCTAGATTAGAGCAGTGACGGCTCCTGGCACTGAAGCGTCAAATGTTGAAGAGGACCCACCAGAGGAGAACAGCTGTGCCAGTGAGAGATGGATAAGTAGAACTCACCTTTACATGCCTTCTTGGCCCCAGACCCACAGTGGTGATGTCACCTTTGGGGGTCTTTGCAAATTCTGTATAATCCCCAGATGGTAACAGTGCCTCTTTAACTGCAATGGGATGGGAGTGTTCCTTTAAATGTTCCATAGTGCAAATTGCTGCACAAGCCTAAAATACTCCTACTTTGTAAATTGATGGTTATTCATTAAAGTCCGAATGGCCTATTAGCACACGGAGCAAAACCAACTGGCTGCATAATTCTGACTTATTTCACAATGTCCAGAATTTGCAATTCAGACTACAAACCTTCACTCAGATTTGGATTTCAGATGGACAGCTGAAATCCAAATCCTAATGCTTCAAATCTGGGCCCAGATTAAAAAAAAAAAGAATCAACTATTTGTCCAATGGAAGCACATTTGCACACTTATATTGAATTAATTAAATGCACTTTAGTTTATGTTATATTCATTTAGCCCTGGCACTATTTAAGTAGTTAGCTAGTTAATCTCCCATGTTAATATTAGTGTAGGAGCCACTGATATTGGGGTACTGTGACACAGTGGTGGGCTTAAAGGGAGACTAAAGGCACCTAGACCACTTCAGCTCATTAAAGTGGGGTGCAGTGCCCCTGTCACTCTTAGTCCTGTAATATAAATCATGGCAGTTGTTAAAAAACTGCAATGATTGCATTTCAGGACTAAGATTGCCCCTAGTGGTTGTCAATAAAACAGCTGCTAGAGGCAATCCTGGTGGTTAACCGACTTTACGTAGCCTGACACTGGATGTCCTCATGCAGCGCATGAAGACATCCAGTGTCAGTAAAATCGTCATAGGAAAGCATTGCGTCAATGTATGCGTCCCAGCACCGAGGGACATATAGTTGTAATTGGGTAATCGTTAAACCCTTTCCATGAGAGGGGGGAAGGCAGAGGGAACTATAGTATAAGGAATACAGATTTGTATTCCTAACACTATAGAATCCCTTTAACTTAAATCCCAATATTTATTTTCTAAGATAAGTGATTCTAAGTAGTTTTTAAAATCCATCATTTAGTGAATAATCCTATAAGAATGAATATCTTGTTCTATGTTTTCACAGCAGTCACTGGCAAAGACAAACAAAAGATTACATTGGGTGTGTGCTCATATTTGCATAGCATTTAATAAAGGAAAATAGGGGATAGGTTATAGCCTTGTCTTGATATGTTGTTTTAGTTTGTCAACAAAATGTCTCTAACCTGTTCTCCAGACTTCCTGAAACCGAAATATAATCAAATATTATCAAATGTTGTACCAATTCACAGAGTCCAACTCCACCAGCATGAGGACATACAGGAACTGCATAGAAAAAAGTAAAAAGTGCTTATCAGGTCATCAATGCAGCAACATGCTTTAATGTTTGGATTGTAAATGATATATGATACGATTAACTGTGATAAACTGATAATTGTCACAGGAATATTCCCTAACATATGCAGAATTTTGGATAACAATAGCTGACTAGATAGAACAGACATATTACTGGACCTAGAGAGTGGCCTGGCTTAACGTACAAAAGAGAGACATCCTTGTCAAATACAAGCCAAAGGCAGGATAACAGAGAGACAGAATAATCAAATAGCCAGGAAAATAGAGTCACAAACTAGCCAAGTTCAATACCAGAAAAAAAACATATAGCAACAAGGAATGCACTAAACAGCTACTAGGAACAGAATCCATGATAGGGAGTGTAGATAGGGCAAAATAACTTTGGACCACTTCACACCTGCGACCCCAAAACACGTGTGAATGGGGATTCCAGATCGACGTTGTCCGCATGAAACCAGAAGTGATGTGACCCCCTCTCTGTGCCTTTAAGAGCACTCTTCGAATGTGAGCAGCCTTTGCATTTCTAGATTTCGGGCCGCGTGAATGGTTTATCAGTTGAGCGCATGTGTCTTGCACGGAAATATCGTATTGCTGTGCTGACCAGGTAAATACTGCTACAGTGCTGCCATAGTCCCTTCCCCCACACAGAGTATCAATGTGCACACATTTTCCCACTATGACCTCCAATTTCTATACTATACTTCTTAGCTATGTAAAGTCACCCATTACATAAAAGGAACAGTCACTTCCCACTTTTACCACAACCAAACAGCTAATTAAAAATGACCTACGTTTTGCAGAAATATTTTTTTTTAAATCATTTTCTTTTCTTTTTTTTTACTCACATCACATGGTCAGTCAAAGTATGAAAATTGGTTAATTCTCGCATTGCTGTGCACACTGCATCTACGCGCATACAGCACTGCAAGAAGAAAATAAAGAGACAGACGCAACTGAGTATGTCAAAATCTACAAAAGAACTGTGGTTAGTTCTCCAAGACGTTTGAAACAACTTACCTGCTGAGTTCCTTACAAAACTGTGCTCAAATGTACCAAATAGAACTGCCAAGCCAATATATATGATTTTTTTTTTTAAAACCTGTGCAGAGTTGTCTCAATCTCAAAACCTAATCTGGGGTAATTTTGGAGAAATAGATCGTGTGGTGTTTTGGATGAGAATGTCATGTCTCAGGTCAATGGCACATTCCGTTTATAGTATGAAATTTTGCCATAGTCATGGAAAATGGTTGAATAATAGCTTACAGGACATCATTTGCAAACAAATTCACTTTCTATTCATCATCTACAGACATCCATTGAATATCATGTGCATTACAGGTCAATGCAATCTATGGTTGATTATTTGACATTATTACAAAAATTACAGAATGACATTTGCTAAAATTCAGGAAATAATAAAAACCCAGTGGACACTGATTGAAGTTATTAAGTTATATCATAAAATACTAATCAACATTATATTTTTTCCATCTGTCTACGTGTTTTATATTCGTGTTTCTTTCCTACATGCAACTGTCCAGCGGTGTACATACCGCGGTCGCAGGGGTCACAGCTGCGACCGGGCCCGCCATTCCAGGGGGTCCGGCCGCCCTGCCGACCCCTGTGACCGGGTATCCGCCGCCATCATCTTCTGCAAACCACCGGGGGCCGCCGTCCAAGGGGTCCATCGGGTGGATGCTGTCAGGGCCACCCGATGCTTATGGATTTAAGGGGGTCCGGTCAGCACTGGGCGTGTTAACAGCGTGACCGGGCCCCCTGTGATGACATCACAAGCTGGAAGGAAGTGACCGCAAGTCAGGATGCAGAGAGGATGCACCTGAGCCACCACTGCACCCCAGTCACCCTCCTGCACCTAAAAGGTAAGAAACAGGAGGGTGACATAAACATTTTGTGTGTGTGTTTGTATGTATGTGTGTCTGTATGTATGTCTGTGTGTGTGTGTGTGTCTGCCTGTTTGTATGTCTTCGTATGTATGTGTGTCTGTCTGTATGTGTCTGCCTGTATGTGTGTGTGCTTGTCTGTTTGTATGTATGTATGTGCACCTTGTGTGTGTGTGTGTGTGTGTGTCTGTATGTGTGTATGTCTGTCTGTGTCTGCCTGTGTGTATGTGTGCCTATCTGTTTTTTTATGTATGTGGGTCTTGTGTGTGTGTGTGTCTCTGTCTGTTTGTATGTATGTATCTGTGTGCCTGTCTGTTTGTTTGTATGTGTGTGTCTGTATCTGTCTATGTGTGTGTGGAGGGAGATAGGAAGGGGGGGCCCACGAGTCATTTTCGCACAAGGGCCACATGGTTTGTGTGTACGCCACTGCAACTGTCGCTTTTAAATTTCAATTAATCTGATTTTGAAGGATTATTATATGATCTTACTGTTGAATTTTTTTGCCATGAGAAGTACTGCCATGTTTTCATTCACACTTCCCAATCTACAGCTATCGATCTGGAGATATTGTAGGGCATTTGCTTGAAGAAATTGTTTAAACATTACTCTGTTATGGCACTAACAGACAAAAAAAAGAAAATGCAAATTTAAGGAAGAAAAGTATAAAATATCAAAGTTTTACATTTAAAGCATGATCTACCTTGGATTCAAACAGGAAATCTCAACGAAAAACATATATAATAAATACTACTTCATATAAGGCTCTGACACTTAACCTTTTTTACAAGGACAGACATTTTGAAAATGGAATTAGCTTAAAGGCACATTTCTATAACAAAATTTATTTTGCAAAACATGTTCATCAGACACTTCTGGCATTAACGTTTCTGCTCTAGTAAAAATATTTATTATGGACACTTAGCTAAGAAATGATGAACACAATATGCCCAGGGACACACTGAAATAACATTGAATAACACATTTTGGGTCTCAACCCAGGGAGTAAGAACCAATGCTTTAATAAATTTTTTATACCAAAATCCAGAAGTGAAGAAAGAGTTGATTATTATTAATGAAATGTAGTGGCTCCATGGCTAAAGGTGGTGGACATTTTGAGTTTGATTGGAATGTAGCACATTTTCAAGTTCATTGCATGCTGCTGAAGCTATATGTAACATTAGGTCATACCACAATTCTACTACAGCAAAGGTATTTAAATTACACTAAATAAACTGCTGAATCAAATATATTTCAGGTGTTCATGTCCATGGCCAGATTAAGAGCCCAGTGGGCCTGGTGCTGACAATTATGATTGGCCTAATTACAGAATCTTATAGACCAAAAACACTAAAACAGTCATACCTCTCAATCGTCATGTCTCTGATGGAGTTGGTGTTGGAGGGAAACTCAAAGGATGCAGCTAAACACATACTCTATGCTAATCTCTTTATCTAGTTTATGATTTCATAAAAAAAATTTTTATGAAATCCATACCCCCTAACAGCAGTGTCCAGTGAAGCAGGAAGTCAATGGGCGGGGTAAAAGGGTGGGCCACTGATTCGAATCACGTAACCAGAAGTGTCAAAATGGGCGAACATGCCCAAAAAGGCAGTCTGTGTGTCCAAAGAATTGGAAGACCAGTCACCTAAACTCCCAGTGTCCCCATGTCTCAGTGTGTCCCGTGTTACTAGGATACTAGGGGACACTGAGAGACATGGGGACACTGGGAGGCATGAAGGCACTTGTGGATACAGACATGTGGACACTGGGAGACATTGGGACACAGAGACTTTTGGGGACACTGGGAGAAATGGGGTCACTGCCTTTCCCCTCAACCCTCACTTCCCTGAGCTGTACTCTAACTCTGCAGGCTGGGAGCTGCTGTCTAAACTCTCTGTGCTGTGTAGCTGCTCCCCTGCATATCAGTGAGTAGAGATAGGCAGGGAGGGATATGCTGTAACTTCTTATCCCTGCCTCTCTCCATACACAGTGACCCCTACTGGCCGGTGCTGGTATTGCAGAGTAATATCCGTTTATACTGAAAAAAATATTTGCATTTCTTTTGCCGGTATTACTGCAATACCCTCATGGCCAGGCAGCCTCAAATAGCGGTTGTGTCTTAAAATACCAGTCAGGTGGCAAACCTAAGAGTAGTGTGTAAAAAAATATATATATATATTTAAATGGGCCTATTCCATGGGCCTGGGCCTGGGCCTGGAGCTGCAGCTTCATCAGCCCCTATGTTAATCCGGCCTTGTTCATGTCAAAAAAAATTCATAAAAATGTAAATTCAGTCTGCCACTTCACTAACTACAAAGGCATTTGAAGTCTCCTTGATGAATGTTGGACCCTTAGGCAGCAGCTGTTAGCCTTTTTGATTCTTTAGTCCCATAATCTGTTAACATATTAAAACCCTGTCAGCAGTCACGCACAGTTCACCTTAATATGGTAAAGTTCATAGGAAACTTACTTGCTCTCCTGTAGCGACTCCAATTCCTAAAGGTGATAATGCCTAATTTAGAAACAGAAATTGAACGCATTTTCAAGCATTTAAATAAAATGTACACTTAATCTTCAGAGCCAAACTATACTATGAATGATAACATAACACAAAAATTTAAAATACAGGTTCAAATTATTCAGTTCTATAGAATATATAGGGTGCTCACTGACATTTGTCACACTGCTATAACTCTATAGGATGGTAGAAGGTTCCCTTCTATACTGATATAATTCATCTCTGCCCACATAGATCCAGTTTAAGAATAATTTAGTTACTATTAAATTTGAAGATGTTCCACCTAATTCACTTAAAGAATTATTCTCTCTGCCTTGCCACCACAGCATCGTAGGCATTAGTCATCTAACCTAGAACAGACAGAAAGCATAGAATGTAAACTCCACTACAGTATTAGCATCAACATCAACTGAACATATATACCAATGTGTACTTACCCATGGTACTATTGAACCAAACACAATGTACTTAGTAAATATGCTAGACTTGGGAGCAAGTCTAGCATATTTACTAAGTACATTGTGTTTGGTTCAATAGTACCATGGGTAAGTACACATTGATATATATGTTCAGCAGGGGAGGGCTGGCAGCCTTAGGCCTGGAGGGCAAAACCAGTCAAGTGGCCCATTGCACCACCAAATTAGTTCACCATCCATGCCCACCTTTTCCTGGTTTTATAACGGATATTGATGTTATGCTAATCAGTAGCTCTTTGCCATACCCGCTCCTTCACGGCTCCAGGCACTGCTTGTTGTGAGTGTGAGCCACTGTAAATTAGGGGCAGAGGGCACTTGCACTGCGGTAAAGACGGGGCTGGGCAGGAGGAGAGTGCAGTGCAATCAGTGCACTCCCCTCCTGTGGGTCACCAGTAGACTGGTGCACCTGCCCAGGATCAGAGCCGGTGCAAGGATTTTTGCCGCCCTAGACAAAATAAAAATTTGCTGCCCCCCCATGTAACATCACAATGCCCCACCCATATGAACTAACGCCAGTGCTGCACACAGTGTGTGTTTACATTAAAAAGCCTGCAGGGACCAGCTATAGACACCAGAACCACTTCATTAAGCTATAGTGTCCCTTTAATGTGAGTTACATTATAGATTAGTGTCACTAATAATATACTAGATTGCCTACTTACAACAGATGAGGATGATGATGGGCTGCAGTTTGGCTCCACTGGTCTGGTGTAGAACAGGATCTCTGGAGGCTGTTTGCAACTGTGGTCACAAAATTCAATGTTCTGGGAGAATTGGAAGCAGCTCCATTTTTTGGGGCCCCTTACACAGCTCAAGGTCTGGGCCCCAGGGCCTGACGGTGAGTATGCCCATAAGGCCCACTCATAAGTCCCACCCACCCATGAGTTCGCTCACAGGGAGTGGAGTGTGTAGGGGATGTGTTATGTGTTATTGTAGAGGATCTAATATGTGTGCTTATGGTATGTAGTGTATAGGGTTACCAGTTTGTGCAGGTGATGTAGTGTGTTTGTGTGTAGTGGAAGCAGTGTGTATTTGTGTATAAGGGATGTATTATGTGTTTCTGGTTGTGTGTAAGGGATGCATTGTGTGAATCTGTGTTTGTATGCATAAGGGATGCAAAGTGTGTGTCTGTATGTGTGTGCATTGAGTGTAAGAGATGCATTGTGTTTCTGTGTGTATGTATGCAAAGGATGCATTGTCTTTGTGTGTAAGGGTTGCATTGTGTGTGTGTGTAATGGATGCATTGTGTGTTTCTCTGTGTGTAAGGGAAGCATGTTGTGTTTCTGTGTATGTATAGGGATGCATTGTGTGTGTGTGCGCGCGCGTAGTGTGAAAGAGCTCCCTGTCTTGGCCCCTGTCCTATAGAGCTGCCCCTTCTGTCCCGTAGAGCTCTCCCCTGCACCTTAGTGGTCTCTCCTCTCCCCACCCTCCCCTAGCGGTCTCTTCTCACACTCACCCACCCTCCCTGTGCTCTTCTCATCCCCCCCTCCACCCTCCCTGTGTTCTTCTCACTCCTCCCTCTATGTGTTCTCCACACACCACCTGTGTTCATCTTATCGCCCTCCTCCCTGTGTTCTTCTTACTTCCCCCCTTGGTCGTCTTACTCCCCCACCTGTTCTTCTTACTTCCCCACCTGTTCTTCTTACCCCCCTTCTTCTT